GGAAAATATATATGAGAAAATTTTTTAATACTCAGGGTAATATGAAGGATACTTGGAAATTCATTGATGAATTGTAAATAATCGCGTTAGTGATGAAGCACTTGATGAGAAAATAAAGCAAAACTTTATGGGTGCAAATATAAGTATTACAGATTTAGTAAGTAATTTTAATAAGGAATTTATAAATAAGATAGATACTCTAAAATGTGATAATAATATCCCATGAATAAAAAAAAATATTTCAATGACTATAGACCAGTTTCAATTTTACAAATAACTGAAAAAATAATGGAAGGGTATGGAAATAACAAAATGTTGGACTTTATGTTAAAAAATAATATTACAAGCAAGTGTCAATATGGACTTATAAAGAATAAATGTACCACATTACTCTGAGAATTGTTTTTTTCAAATGTTGTAAATTTACAATTAGATAAAAAAGTACTTGTATTTTTTTCTTGATTTAAGTATAACTTTTGATACAATAAATCATAGAATACTGCTGGATAAATTATATATGATGGGTGTAAGGGGAGGCTGCACGAATGGTTCATAAATTATTTGAGTAATGGGGTTACAGTAAGAAGAACTGGAAAAAAAATTAGTGATCCAATGACTATAGAATATGGCTTTCCACAATATTATATTTTGAGTCCAATACTATTTAGTCTGTATCTTAATTATACTGCAAACATAGATATAAAGAGTAAAATATATCAATTTGCAGATAATACAGTTTTAACTATAAATGATCAAACATAAAGTATGATAATTCACTCCCAATATATAAATATTATTAATAAAACATTTTTACACTCTCATGATCAAAAATGTAATACTAAATATAAATATTTATTTGTAGAAAATAGGTAGTATTCTAATTGTGATCGTCTGTATATGTTTAGGGCTAATTATAGATTATGTTTTTAGTTGATCATAACATATAAATATGACCTGCAATAAATAAAGACCTATTAGGGCAAATTTATAGAGGATACAAGATATTTTACCAATTATTATAAAAATATCAATTTATGTATTTTTAGCTGAATTTGTTATCTGTTATGGATTGACAATATATGGCTCAACAAGTTTAAGTTGATCATTTTAATCACAAATGACGAATTTAGTACAAATGCTATACTAACAAATGAAATTATAAGAAAAAGTTATTTGATGTACCTGCACTTTATAAGTACATAATGATTATAAATTCATATTACAGTCTAAATAATAAAGTACTAAAACAACATATGTGTAATACTATAAATTAGAAAATAAATATTATGAAATTCGAAATTATGATAATAACTAAGACAAACAGTATAAAATACCATCTACAATTAACCATCTCCCCAGGGGTTCATGTAATATAAATAAAATTGCAGAGTTAAAAAAAAATAAAGATAGACTTTTTATTAACTGGTTTTAATAGACAAACTGAGTAACATTCATTGAATGGTAATTTATTCATCTAGGATTGATATCGTCTTTAAGTTAATTCTGCTTTTAATTGCTTGTTAGTGATAATGGTGTAATACCATTATCTGATATTATGTTTTTGTGTTATGATCAATAATATGTTAAGATCAGTGATATTATAATATAAAAAATTAGAAATGATAATTATGATAGACTTACAAAGAAAGTTTCGCGTTTTTGTGTCTAATATATTTATCAATATAAATATATATGAATTTTCATAGTTATTAAGAAGTATCTCATGAATAAGCTGACTACGCTTGTGGGAAATTCCTTATTCGTATATTTGATTTTGTATTAATATATATATATATGTGATGAAGAGGATAATAAACAATTAACAACATTCTCCACAGTACTACTATAAGCCCCAGGACTGCTGTTACACAGTGCTATTATGATATATAGAATTCCTATTCTCCATAGTACTACTGTTAGATTCAGGACTACTCTTATACAGCACTACTGTGATATATTGTGTTGCTATTATCAATAGTATTAGTAAACTCTAAAGTACAACTATTAGCTACAGGTATACTGGTACCTAGCTGTACCATGATATATAGTATTACTATTACCTGTAGTCCTACTGGTCCACCTAGTACTACTATTAGCTTCAGGACTACCGTTACAGAGCACTTTTACGGTATATAGTACTACTATTTTCTACATCACCAATAATTGTTTCAGAAGTACTGTTACACAGTACTTCTGTGAAGTATACCATTATTAATATCTGCAGCACCATAATTCCCCACAGATCTACTATTATGCATCACTACTACAATATAAAGTAGTACTACTGTTCTCCACAGTACTATCATTAGCTTTAGAACTACTCTTACACAGCATTGCTATAATATATAATATTTTTAATACGTATAATACTAGTATTCCCCATAGTACTACTGATTCAAGCACCACTATGATATACAGTATTACTATTATCCATTATAATGCTACTTCCCACAGTACTATTGTAACACAGCACTACTATAATATATGATATTACTTGAAATACTGGTGATGCTCACACGATAGTGATTTCACTCACATCTTGTAGCATGGAAAAATGCAGTTTTACATTGTTCGCAGTCTTATTTCTTCGTTTCGTTCATTTTCTTCCAGTAATTGTTCTAACGACATTACACAAGCGTTTATTACTTACAACTCTTTCCCTACTGAGAATCATATTTAATTTCGTTATTCTGTCTGTCTTTTCTAATCTCTAATCTCTTTATCGTATTACTTTGTATACCTATACATAATTCCTTTACACGTGTTTTCGTCTACTGAAAGGTGACTAAAAGAACACTAAACAGATTAGTCAAATAAAATGCACAGGCGTTTTTACACAGTGCTAGAACTAAGGTTTGTTTTATTTGTGTCTTTATCTTAATATTTTATCAACCATCTTTCTGTGTGTGTGTTTTAACATAAGTTTACTTCCATATTTATTGTTACTTTCATTACCAGTATTGTTAGAATAATATTTAGTACATTTCATTTTATCATTTTTAAGGTTTATTATTATACTTTTATTATATACGTTTTTGCATTGTTAGCTTATTATATAGATTTGTGACTAACCTAAGTCTCCTAAACTGGCTGAACCTCGTGAAATACTTATTCTTAGATGTACGGTTTAAATATTGTTAATAATGAAAGTACCCAGCTGATTAAGCCATGCATTCCAATCTTTCAAGTAATAACGTAAGCTAAGTATACTTCATTAGTTATATTCAATTCCACATTGATTTTTAGTTTCTCTATTTAGCTAAGAAGGTTGCTATGATCGGAAGTTATTATTAATCTAGAGACATGTTTGTATTTTTAACGCTTGGTTTTTGTTGCTATGGTCAATATGACGTTAAATAAATACAAAATACAAATAAGAAAAATCTTTCTTTGCATCGTAGTGTTGGTATTTTGTTTGTTTGTGGTTTAGCTACACAATGGGCTATCGGTGCTCTGCCCACCACGGGTATCGAAACCCCGTTTCTAGCGTTGTAAGTCCGCAGACATACCGTTATAAAGTATTCTGTTCAAGTATAAATTAGAGATTTATAGCTTAAGTATCCAGTTTTATCTCTATAACTACAGGTGGTATTTTAAGTCGAAGAAGAATGATAAAAGACATTCATTCTAGGAATGAAGTGGTGCTGCATTCTGAAAGGCACCAGTTCTCAATTAGCCTGATTTCAGTAAAAAATTTTTAATCATACACTTCAGGCTATGCAATTGGTATATTTCTATTCTCAATTCGATAAAAAAACGGGAATATTTGTTTGTTTGTTTGAAATTAAGCACAAAGCTACACAATGGGCTATCTGTGTTCTGCCCACCACGGGTATCGAAACCCGGTTTCTAGCGTTGTAAGTCCGCAGACATACCGTTATGCCACTGGAAGGCGTTGGTGTCTTGTGTAATGTATCTCATCAAAGCCAACAATCTTAACGTCTAATATAATAAATTATTTGTTTGTTTTAGTATAAAGCTACACAATTAGCTATCTGTTCTGTGGCCGCCTCGAAGGTCGAGCCCCAAAAACTGTAATAAACAATGATGGGCTTAGCTAAATTTCTGTACTAAACATTCCGGTGAAATTGTTTGGAGGAAATGGCGCTCTTTTGAACACTAAAATTAACATCGGAAATAAATGCGTACTAATATTATGTTTATTTGGTAACAAAATTGTTTTCCATTACGAAAGAAATGTCGGTAAAGCAAACTGCATAGAAAGATAAGTTTGGTGCTTCTATGACGTAAAACACAAATTCCAAAGAAATTATCTTTAACTATTAGCCTAAATTTTAATTAAAATCATAGACAACTTAAGTTACTAGTACAAATTTGTTTTAAACGAAATGCATTAACTCAGTATTAAAAACAATCATCTTCCCTTTGATAGTTTTTTTTAAAAGACAAGTTCCAGTACATCAGAGCATTCTAATTGCCCAGTAGAAAAATAACTTGAATAATGAAATTATATTATAGGATTTTTTTCTGTGTTTCATGGTGGGTCACCGATAAGTTCACAGACTTACAACGCTGACATCCAGCCTTCAGTTACCCGTAGTGTACAGAACGCAAATATTCCCTTGTGTAGCTTTGCGTTAAAATAACAAACAATAATTTTTGTGCTTGTATTAAGTAATGTGTTTGGACTATCAACACGTTATTTAAATTTCTTTGTCTAGTTTCTAATACCCAACTTTTGGCTCAGTCCAAATAAATACTTAATACAAATATGAGTACTCACGTTATAAGCTTAAAAATACTTTTCTGTGCTGTAGACTCGTACGAATGTATGTTTCACAGTAAAAAATAATAATCTTGAAAACACTCTCTTGGAAAAACTATTAAATTCATAATATTATATTTTAATATTAGGCTTTTAAAAATATATATAAAACGTTATTATTACAGTCAAGGTATCTGTGTTGTATATTTATTACATTATTTCAAGTATTCATATTTGGAAAATGAGTAGTCAAAAGATGAAAATAAGACAAAAATACGGATCTCATTCACTTTATTAACGACAATTACATAGTATAATCATAGACAATTATTACCACAGCAACAATCTATACAAGCTTTATCTTACTTTCACCTATTTTCCTGATTGTCCTTTTACTGGACAACAAAGTTTTCTTCAAAGATATATATTGTCAGTCTAGTCACCTCAAAACTGACAACTTCACATTTCATATCTGGTATCCTTAAAACAAACACCACTCTTTTTACTAAAACAATTAATATTAAAGGATAAACAGTACAGTAGGAAATCAAAAGCTAGATAATATTTATTTTTGATTTTGAAAACCTAATCATTTCCATAAATGGAAAATTTGTCCTTACAGATTTCCTGAGAACAGAAAGCTCAAAAATTTTACTACCACATTTTTTGATGGTGCGTAATTTATACGTTAGAAATCAGTTTCAACACTTAAATAGCAAAATTTAATTATTCGTTTGTCGACATTACTTTAAGCATTATTCAAAGGATAGAATATTGATCTAGATTTCGATATAACAAGCAAACTAAAGAATTACATTTAATTTATTTCACAGCCTTACACTGCAATACCAGTAAAGGGGGGGAGGGTGTTGGTCTGGATTTCAGACAAATGTGAGTAATGGTTTGGAATAAAATAGGGCATAATTGCGGGGGTTACGGCTCACTAACTCTTTCATGATTTGTGTTTTTTTAGTACTTTATATGGCCTGATATTGATTTCTCCAGCCTGTAGAATTTCACTTTTTGAAACACTTTCCGTTTTCAGCTTGTGGGCATAATGAAGCATCATTCTATTCACAACACTGATGTACATTTATTTTTTCACTGGTAAATGGGAACGTACAGCTTGCATGGAGGCAGAACTACACAACTTTTACCTTTATTTTGTTGTTAACTTATTTGTAATTTATATCTGTTAAGAAACCTCCAAAACATAGAACTGTAAAGGGTGTAAAATTTTGTTCTAATCAAAACTTTTCTTCCCCTTCAGAAAAAAATACACAAAAGTATGGCACTGAACAAACACTGTGCTTATTTACACAATGAACTAAATTCATCCGAGCAACTGACACAGACAATGAAAACCTTATTACCCTAGTTACAACGCCATGATTTTTATTGTTATTCAGATAGAGAAAGTGAGAGAGACATACAGGGAAATATCCGAAGATTAACATAGTAGTTTGTAACGATAAGGAACTAAAAACTATACATTTACATATGTATATAGCATTACTACACCTTAGCCCTTACTTCCACAGAATGTACCCAATATATATTAAAAGTGACGACACGATAGTAGAATAGTTCTAGCATATACAGTTATAAACTTTTCTTTTTTAACTTCTTATGTGTGTGTCTACTATAGAACGAAATCATCACCGCGAGATTATTTATTCTTACAACAAAAGTATGAATTCAAGTAATGTAAATACCGAACGGTTGTAGACGATATGACGTGTAGTGTGCATTCTCACATATTGTTGTTAATAATGAACATACCCTGTGGTGTTAAAATTAAATAACTATTGTTTGAGTGAGAGCACTAATTTGTTAATAGAACCATGCTTGTACAGCACTAGTATTGTATCTTGTCTTTCTACACAAAGTGACAGTAACATTTACCCTGGTACTCAGTACTGACTTGAGGTAAACACATAATGTACATAGAACAATTCCAATCACAAATATTCCTGGAGTCTGGATTGTCCAGTAGGTATGAGAATCATCCTTTAAACTTATATTGTTTTCGGTTATAGCTGTTTAAAGACCAGTTCTCAACCAGACAGAGCTAAATTATCTTTTGCCAAAAACTCTATTGCTTTTGTCAAATTGTCATCCCATTATAGTCACAGGATGACGTCACACGTGTAAAGTAGACACGCGCTAAACACACACACTGTTAGATTATACAAAGAGAATTCTGGAAAAGTTTGACTTTAGCTGGCATGTATGTCCATTATATGCTGCCCTGAGCCGTCGTATGGAGACCCCTGTGGAGGAAGACCCGGATGACCCATGGGAGCATGTGCCATCATCATGGCATGGGGATGACCGGGAAGTAGCATGGCCTGGGAATGAACAGGAGAGCGGAGCTGGGACATCTGAGAGTAGCCTCCCATCCCTCCCATGTGACCCATTCCCATTGATGGTTCGGAACATGGCAGGTTCTGCATACCTATAAGCAACAAGAATACCAAGATGAATTTATCGAGTAACATATACTTAGCTCTCAGGCTAGCTTTTTCTAATAAAAAAACGCAATTAAGCTTTAATTTGTACAGACGTCAAACTATCTGAAAAAGGTTTAGTGAAAATGTGAATAAATATTTTCAGAGCAAAGAATACCTCCACTATTATAAAAAAGATACTGTCTTCACAGGATATATCTCAATTATCAGTTATAAATATGTTGTTTTCTCTTTTTGTTAACAACTGCTTTACGTATTTTATTGGTTTCTAAATAATTTTTTCCTTTATTTTTCCCAATCTTTTTTGTAATTTTTATTTATACCTAGAAAAAAATATGTTATATGCGCACCTGGCGGTCGAAGATGCATTTGTTGACCTCCGTCCATCATGTATCCCATACCTGTTCCGTCAGGGCTATAAGCAGCACTGGCGGCCCCAATGGTACCACCTAAAAATAATATAAAAATCGTCGGATCAAATAATTACATTTAAATTTTCTTGCTATATTTCACTATTTATTGTACATTACTATCCCAAAACAATATCCTTATACATCTACAGTTTAACAATTGTGAGAAACTCCTGAATACCTTTATAATGGTAGCCTGAAATTGCGTATAACGAAACAACTATCTTAGCGGTAACTTACAGGACTTATAATCTTAAGTTTAGGACTTCGATCCCCACTGTGGATACAACACAGGTAATAAAATGTACTGTTTTCCTCTAAAACAAACACATCGAAAATGTTCAGTTCTGTAGGCCCAAAAGACTTGTTTAGTATCGCAAAGATTTACTTCATTTAAAAAGAAATTTTCCACGAAATTACATTATATTCATTAAGGTGCTGATAACTAGTTTCGTTTTATATTAGTTTAATCATTTTATTTAGTGTGATAAGAAAAAACTAACAACCACTCATCATCACATTCCTAGGGTCTATTTACAGTCATCATCCATCAAAGGACCTGTTCCTTCTACAGGATGACCCGAGAACAGGAACAAAAAATTTGTTAAATCAGATGTAAATACGTTTTAAAACATGGGAATAAAGAAGAAGATTATGTTTAAATAAAAAAAAACCTCATGTGAGAGAACAACGTTTGATTATTACACTTGTATGTGATTCATACAGATCAAATTTGTACATTCCACGAGTCAGCTGGTATTTACTTCTTGGTTAAAAATGAGCCCCACAGGAACCAAACAAATCCTCTATGAAAGACAAACCAGCTTATTTAATTCACTTCTATGTCATTAAAAATGTTAACTGAAAATTACCTGACTTTAATGATTAGCGCAATTTCCTGTCTGTGTTCTAGTCGGTGTACAGGTAGAAAATTACATTTTCATATATATGTGTTCGGATAATATGATATAAACTGGTCGTTTTTTTTCGGCAAGCACGAGTAAACACATTGAAATAACATCAATCACGAGCTGCCAATTTCTGATAAAAATTCCAACAGAAGACGGGAAGACTGCATACAAAGAAGGCTTGTGGTGAAGCTCTCTTTGCTCTGATAGTGGTTAGCTTTTAGCAACGACTCTCTTAAAATGTGTGTTTGGACACTTGAATGATGGATTGCCCTTTTAATGAGAGATTGTGTAACAGGAGAGAGGAGCTGCGTGTCCTTGTAGACCAATCTTTCCCTCAGTTTCCTTCCTTTTAAGTGTACTTAGCAATCCTAAAATAACACTACATCTAAAGAATTATTTCAGTATCAATTTTAGCAAGAAATATTAAAGAAAAACCCTTCCACGTTTACGCTCTTTTTTATCAAAATTTATAGTCAATAATTTTCTTTGAAATGGATTCTTAGCTCTCTAAAGTGAAAAACCAAACAAAATATAAGGAATTTAAAAAAAATTCTTTATAAATGACACGTTCATCTTATATTAAGAAACCTAAATACTGTGTGATGTAGAATTGTGTGTACAGGACGGTCAGTCACTTATAATGTAACATACATTCTTCACTTAGCGTCCAAATGTGCTTCTCATAAATACTGTAATACTAAAAAAAACTGTCAGAAATAAGTATTTTATATGACAAATTTGCTATTTATTTATTATACTTTCATGCTTCTCGTAAATACTGTAATACTAAAAAAAACTGTCAGAAATAAGTATTTTATATGACAAATTTGCTATTTATTTATTATACTTTCATGCTTCTCGTAAATACTGTAACACTAAAAAAACTGTCGGAAATAAGTATTTTATATGAAAAATTTGCTATTTATTTATTATACTTTCATGCTTCTCGTAAATACTGTAACACTACAAAAAACTGTCAGAAATAAGTATTTTATATGAACAAATTTGCTATTTATTTATTATACTTTCATTTACTTATGCAAAACGGACTTCTTCTGATGAGGTAACTAAATGAAATATCTAGTAAACTGTCAAATTGTTAACATAGTATCCGAAACCTAATGTCGCATTATTTCAATTATTTTAGATGTTTTTTATTTTATTTTGTGGTTATTTATTAACTTATTTACATCTATCTATCTATTTATTTGCATCACCAAACCAGTTGACAAGATGGTGATTGGTGTTTTTTTATATACTTACTAACCTCTAGAGCATTCTGCAGACGTTCTCACTATACTAATGACTTGTTACCATTCTTCGCACACAAGCTCACTAAACGTACAAGCCACTACCATATACGATTGTCCATGTTTTCGGGCTTGTTATGGTAATGTAAATGGCCCACTTTCCTTATGCTAAATGTCACAATTTACTCCTTTTTATTCAACATTACTCAAGTAAGAAACAACGCGGGTCGTCATTTATATAAATCAACTCATCTTTTTATTTTATTGTAAAGTTATATAAACATATAAGCACTTTAGCATAATTCTCAACGAACATGATAATTCAACACTTTTGAATGTTAACATTAAAACTTAAATTAACTTTTAATCCAAATATGATAACGCACCTTTGACTAGTTTAAAGTAGTCGACGTACATTGTGACGTTAAATAGAAGTTAATACAATAATCAAATATTGTGCATCTTTTTCAAAAATCAAAAAGCCGTTGTCAATAGCTCACAAATAAAAAAATGTCGAATACAGATTGTTGAATGGATACAATGTAACATTTACCACATTGTTATTGTCCCCTCAGTCTATAAGCATTAATTTTTTTGTTTTATTTTCATTTCATGTAAGCATTCTAAACAATGATCCCGTTAATCAATGTAGTCTATCTGATGTAGGGAAATAAAAACACTAAAATTAGAACCCACATTAGAAGTTCGTTTGAAAAACACATTGTTTATTGATGGGATTAATTACGCATTTTTTAAAATTATTATTTAGAGGCAAGGTAGTTGTCTGGAAAAGTAGATGTTAACTATTCATTCAGTAAACATTAAAGAATAAAACGTTCACTGAATGAAGTACGTTCTTCTCTATTAGTATTTCATTGTTGTCCAAGTGATGTAATATTCATTGCATGAAGTATGCTCTTTCCTTGGGGCTATGCATACATTTAATACACTTAATTAGTATTTCATTGTTGTCCAAGTTTTTTTAATGGCGTGTGGAATGATGGGTGATTCCACTTTCCTTAAAATCAAGTTTATACTCTATAGCAACAATAATAATATTTTATTTTATAGAAATTACAAACTGTTTGTTGGTTCTATTATGAGTTTACATAGAAATATCTTTCCTCCAGTCCAGAGCTAATCTCTTTGGTTGTTCTTACTTTTACTCATATAGATCAAACTAAACTTATTTCCTTAGTTCATATACACCTGCTTTAAACTCCTCATACCTCTTACAACAATATACTCACCTATGGGATTTTTGAGTTCTTTTAAATCACCATACAGTTATCTAAAGGAATTTAGGTATGTGAATAATGATAGAACATTGCCCCTAATTCGTTATTCGATATTCTACAACTGTTTATTAATTATATATATATATAATACAGATTTATTTTCTTTTTCATTAGGCCTGTACGTCAAAAATTCACTTTTCAATTCTACCTTCGGTGAAAAAGAAAATAAATTTGTAACATACATATATATATATAATATACTCACCTGCTCTATTTGACTGATCTATCATGGGTTGAACAATGCGTCTTCGTGCATTAATGAACCTGTGGAAAATAAAATAAGATCCAGTAAATACAGTCGCTTTTTAAATACCTTACAAAAATATTTGAAACTGACTTAAAAAATTACAACGCTTCTTTTTTAAAAAAAATAATGCATTAACTTACAAGCGTTGATTACCAGTGAAAGTGGGTTTTCTCGGGGTACTCCCGTTTCCCCCACATTAAATTCTCGGCATAGGATTTCTAAATTCCCGCCGCCCTGAAGGACCATCTGTCCGATATCGGCCGTTTTTTTTTGTTTAGCCTTAGATTACTCTGCTTCACTTTTTTAATTTTTAATATTGTAATATCCAAAATTACCCCCTTCTTTTGTTTAATTAATTATCCTTAGCCCATTCGGCTCAGTACTCCGCTGACCACTAAACGATATGTAACCTTTTACCACGAGCGGGGTGAAGGAGGATTGCTTAATCTTCGAACACCCCAGATTAATAATTATTTCCTCTGGAAATAATTATTTTTAAATCTAAATAACTGCCAGGACAAAAACAAACATAAACAAGATAATATTGCTGGTTATAGAATCTTACGAGTTTGTTCAGAATGGATTTTGGATTTTCAAGTTCTGCCTATTCTTTAATAATTAAAAAAAAGTGAAAATTCGATGATATCGGATATGCATGTTGCGATAATTAGAATGAAATTTTATGTTAATAAAATGAAATCCATGTCACCGAGTACATAAAAAGCAATTGCCGTAGGTCGTTTTTCCACACACTAAAATATCCCAATACAAACTGTTAATAGTTCTTTTAAAATGCTCATATTCTGTTCTGCAGTGAACTACTTTAGCAGTGTAGTTCAGACACGAGATCCATACGAACCTATTCAATACGGCATGTGTAACTAACAACATCATGCCTTCAATACGCTATATATCACTCACAAAAACATAAATTCACTACACCATTTTCATTTACAGCAATCAATACAACATTTGTCACTCAAACAACACATGTATTACTCCATGTGGTCATTCATAACAGAGTTCAAAAAATTATTTTGAATATTATATGGTCACTTAAGTTATTTGCCATATACTATTTTTTAATTATTTTAATTTCATCATTTGAAAAGCAGTTGTAAATAACAATTTGAGAAGACACGTGTCATTGAAAAAGATCGTAAAAAAACTATACAGTAATACTACACTGTGTTATTTCACAAGTTACAGTGAGAAATGGAAATAGTTCATCTTAAACCTTACGTAATCAACGTATGAAACTGGCACAGCAGAGATTAAACAAAATTATATATTTAACAGAAAAGAAGCAAACCCTAGAAATCAGCGAAAAATAATGAACAATAAATTGTTAATAAGTATAAGGAAAATAGGCCAAATCGGCCTAAAAAACCCAATTATACAAGCACATAAGTATGAAACATATACATTCTGCGCATATGTAACATGTCTGTAAACAAAACAAACTGCTATCATTTTAAATTCAGACAGTACTAAATAAAAACGCAGTGTAATACATTTTTCAATGAACGCACCATGATAATTACGTATAAATACATGGGTCAATCCAAACATCACAGTTTTGATAAAACGCGTACCATCATTATAAAAAGTAGCAAATATTAAACAACAAAACCGTTGTCTTCTAATACTTTTATTATTTTATAGTCAATCTATGAGAGTTAAGCGATGATATTTTTTTGCATATTTATGTTTGATCGTGTATTTGCCGTTATGCGAAACACAAATATTGAATTAAAAATGCATACTATGGGTGTTTGTATTAAAGACCAGTGTGACACTTTTCACTCTCCCCTTTTCCTTTTATTTAGCCATCTCTGAACCAGTTATGAGTAGCAGCTACAATAACAAAAGTATTTGATTGATATAAATTTAATAGATGATTTTTCAACTTCATTTAATGTGAATTAACACAATATGTTCACAAACTTGAAGTTTTGGTGCCAAAATTATTTTTAAAAAGTACTGACTAATATTACTATTATGACAGGTAATTGGTCAGAACATAGATGATAAAACAGTCAGGAGCAGATACGTTAACTCTTAAGTTCATTATTTTTGTTTAACAGTAATTGAAATATAGTAAGTTCTCTATAAAACATATTGATCTGTCGAATTAGAATGTGTTAGATAAGTTTTTCTTGCGTATATCTGGCTGTCTATATAAATGTAACTATCTATAAACTGAACTACACACAGAGTAATATTTATACATCTACTATTAGGGGTCATAATTGCTGTACAACCGTTTTTACTGAGTTCTGCATTTATCTACGTATAGATATGTCCTTGCATTAACAGACTTTTTGTACGAACATACTTACATTCTTCCTTTTCGAAAACAGAAATAATAGCCTAGCAATAAATTATCCTGATGGAAAATGAGATAAACTGTGAATCTGTATGATCATGATACACTTTTATTTCATTTTTTTCAATTTCATTGTTGACGAATATGGAGGGGTGCAGCAAGTCCGGGAGCTGACAAGCTAATATAGTATGCTGTGGAACCCAAACAGACTTGAAAGACAAAAAGAACTTTTTTTACTGGTTCACTAGCACCACAGGGAGCACCTCCAGTCTTGTATAAATCACAGTCTTAACATGAATGGTTTTCCACCATCTAACTGTTACTAGACAGACAAGGCTTATCTTTTCATAAACGAAAGACAAATTACATTGCATTCTGCGCTTAACCTAGTATTCTAAAGATGGGTTCTCATTAGAAAACAATACCAGTACGTAAGAAAATGATGTCTTATTTTTTCTTCACTTCATATCTGCACCTGCAAGAATAATTTTCTATCAACACTAAAGTGCTTTCTTCTCTTGAGACGATTTTTCTTATTTGTCTAGCTCTTTCGTAATACATTTTTTCGATTCATACATATGCATAAATATACGATCTTAAATTTTGAGCAGATATACCATTATGAGAAAATTCAATAAAATTAAAATTCGAACTGCTGACTTTTAAGTAATATAATGTTTTTGGAAAGTGTATTTCTTCTTCTCTTACTGTAGAATGTAGAATAAGGATCAGATTATGTTGATTTTTGGGGGAAGTATGAGGAGTTCCATGTCATTTGTAAGATCCAAATTTTATTAACCACGATTATTGAACTCTAGTGATATTTCATGTTCACAAGCTGGTGGAGAGTTAGGTAATACGCGACTGAACATTGTGAATGAGAGGCAAACTAATTATTGATTATAATATAAACTTCCAATTTCTTACTACAGTAATATTACGAAAACAGAAACATACTAAATTTCTTAAAAGACACCTTTCAATACAAAGAGAAGAGTAGGAGCAGATAAGTTAAAAAGGCATAAAAAAAAGATGGAAACAAGATGGCGAAAGTTGAAATAATTGAATAATGAAAAAGAAGAGCAAACGTATTAATTAGGACAACTGGTATTTGGTATCTTTTACAATGTATATGCTCATCGCCCAATCAGAGACTCCAAGGCTCAGGCATAGTCATCCCTAATTCACAATTGCTGATCAGATAGAGGGCAAGCAGCCAGCAGCTCCCTCAGCCTAAAGTGATATTCTTAACTAAATTGTGGTATTAAATGTCATATTTATAACACCCTATACTTGAAAGTGCCGAGCGTGGTAAGCGGCATATCGCAGCTCGAGCCTTAGAACTTCTGATCCACAGCCCAGCATACAAGCGAATAGGGCACGTCAGGCCCAGAAAGATGTGTAAAACATTGCCATCGAGTAGGACAAATAAAAGAGATGTAAACCATCAATAAAAACAAGAGAAAGTGAAAAAGAAAACACTTCGTCGTCACTTGACTGTTTCAATACTTTAGATTATCAAATATTAGTGAATGCAGTTACTTTTCAAGTAACAAGTCATATTTACAACCCAAATCAGAAATATTACCAGGATTCTACTGTATAACTAATGCTTAGGTGACTGTATACCAATCGGTTTCACTAACCCACTTCTCCCGCAGTTTCTTCCTCATGCATAAGTACTATTGATTTTATAATGTTTGTTGCATGCTTAACTGTGACAAAAGAACACTTATGTTTAGCACAGACTACCAATAGTTTTATATGTATAGAACGTGTATGCTCCAAAATGAGAGAACACAGAAGCATTCGAAAAAAAAATCAAATAGTTGGAGACATTCAAAAAATTTGACTATCTGAAAACTGTATTGTCTTGTAGTATTAAACGTATTGAGAAGCACTTTAAATTGTCTGCACAGACTGACCCAATATATACATATATATATTTGTGTGTGTGTACTTTTAAAGACTATCTGATTTTACTGATTTAGCAAGTTACTGTGTATGGTAAATCTTTAACAGTATACTATCTTCTACAACATGTAAAGTTACTGAATACTAGAGATAAAAATCATCAACCCGGCATCATTAGAGTGGGAGAAAGGAATATGTTAAGTAGGATTCTTTAAATCATGAAAACTGTACTTTCCTTTCCACGTATATAGAGAGAAATCTTGTAATTGTAAACATTGTAACCTTTTTGATATATTCAAACCCACAGAACTATCAGTTAAGACACACAGAGGATTGAAAACAAACTGTAGTCTTAGCAACAGATGATACTGTACAAGTTAAGAGAAAATAAATTAGATAAGCGCCATTGTTATTTCCCGTGAATGAATAAGATTTCAAAGTGTAGTATTCAAAGAACAGTAATCTAGTTAATACTTAATATATTTCTTCTAATATTTGTAAAGTGCTCACCATATGGAGTATATCAAATAAAGACTGGAACTGCGGAACATTTTAAGTAATCGGTTGTTCAGTGAATTTCTTGTATTAAGAATAGGATTATGTTAGACATAGATTTAACGTTAACCTTACTTTAATATTTTCTTAAAAGAAATTATTATCAATACAATAGAAAAAGAAAATTATGAAAATACTGTTGAATGTATTAGGGTATGATATTGTTTACGCAAGATTTTAAAAATCATTGTACGCATTTCTTCTAGTTTTGTTTTTAGA